TAGCAGTGGCGTTGCAACTGGAACAGTTCCTGCTTCTGCATTTTCGCCAATTTCTCGTGTAGTAACAGGAGGCGGCGCTGGTATTATTGGGAGCAGCGTCACTCCAGCATCGACGCCGGTGCAGGAAATGATGAAGCGAATTGGCCAGTCGACCCAGGTTGTTACCATGGCTTCCTGAATTTCATAAGTCAATCCCAATTTTTTTCAGCTAAATCGCAGAGCTTCAGCCACATTTTGCTTCCACTCAAATTTTCAACTGAAAAGTGTCTACTGGCCAATGTGGGTCTAGATTTTCCTCTCTAAGTACGGCCCTCCATGAAAATTTTCATATAGGTATTCACGCTACTAGCGGTAAAAAACGAACAGTTATTTTTACGATGTTATATGTATTTATTTTTTTTTTCAATAAGAACAGAACCAATATCAAATATTCACATCGATTGTTCGAGCACTATCGATAATTTTAGTAAATGATAGGACTTTTCCAAAAGCAAACACACGTTGACAGGAGTTTTCGCTGACTCTCTTGCATGGGTTGTTCTAGAAGTGGACTGGATGCAATTCAGAGTTTTTTTGCGCTCAGCTATTACCAATTTACGGCAGAGATAGATATCCCAATATAGAATGAATGTTAGTGAAGTTGCGATTTGGCTCCCTAAACATAGCATAATTGCTCTTCTTACTTTTATCTTGATGAAATTTTTTGTAAATCATAACCAGTTCTAGCTGTAGCCCACAACACAACTAATTCCTTGGTCTTGTAATTCCAAGGGTCTCAACTGACCACTATATGGTCCACACCTCTTTTTAACAAACGGCAGTTTTTCAAGTCCAGGCTTCTACATTTTTCTTTTTTTCTCGAACAGTTAAGGTCCTACTCTGGGAAGCTTATCAAAGGTAACGGTACTTTTCTGGGGCTCAAAAAATGCCAGGATCATTAAATGCAATTAGAAAAGTGTAACGTTTTGCGATGGTACATAAAATTTTTGCTTATGTAGCCATATTAGAAAAGTTGCATGTTGAAACTCCTCAGGCTCTTAACTCAGAAAGTTTTTGTCAAAAGTCTCACAGGTCTGTACGTGAGACTTAGACATAAACTGAATCTAAATTTTAGTTCCCAAAGTCGTAAGTGGGCAGGAAACATTACCCTAAAATTTCAGACCCTAGCTTTTCCAGTTACTAAGTCGCAAGCTATAGAAAAGACCGGATACGTTTTGAATCCCTGTTATGGAATATAACGCATAAAAATTTTACTAAAATCAGGGCTTAAAAGCCTTGCCGCATTTATTCGCGTAAGAGGCTAAAATACTTGGAAGTAGCCCAAGTGACAGCATGCGCCAACATCAGAAACCCGTCAATAGGACTACCAGTGGCTTTCTTTTTCCGGAGCTGTTTAGAAGCCAAACTGACAGTAAATTTACGTCTGCCACATACTAGTACCAATTTACAGTCGAAGCGACTGGACTAATTGGTTGTTCCGAGAATGAGGAAATGGTTGTCCCACTAGCCGGGTCAAATTTTCGACCTTCAGCACTGTAGGAGCGTCATTTCTCGTTGCGCCACATGCATCACCGTTAAAAAAAAACCTTTTCTCTAATTACAAAAAGTAACCCAGGCTGGAACGCACCGGGCGGGCCCGTGCGATCACGCGTTTTTGCACAGGACTTGAAGT